ATTGGCTTTTAAAAAAATCAAAAACCACAGGTCGCAAAATATTATTTTTTTCAAATATTTTTTTATGGTCTCCTAATGGGTAACTCGTGAAAGTAGAGCCCTCTGGGCGAAAATTTCGTCCGTTTTGCTCTATCTTGTACCGTCTCGACGCTATGGCTCATTTCTTGGCAAAAACAACCCGAAAAAGACAAAATGGTCTATTAAATAGTAAAAAAGGCTTCATGTCACAGAATTGGAAAGGGAGTAATACTTAGACCACACGTTACGGGTTGCTAGATTATCTACTATCACTAAAACGTTGATTTTTACATAACAATCTGGCAAAATTCGAGTTTTTAATGAAAACCGTTACCGAACAGCATAAAGTTTCTTGTCCCTGATTTTAGAGTAAGAAGACCCCGGCAAATGGTTCAAGTGTGTCAAATTTTGGGCCCGGAAGACCCTGTTTCCCTATACCCTTTCCTTAACTCGTCTCGGGTGTCAGCGCCGCAGGCCTAGCTATATGTGCGCCAGGCGCGTCGCAGCGTAACAGTGTTTCGTGACATATCGCGAAGCCTGTTACGCGATACGTGGTCTGGCGTACATATAGCTAGTACTATTTTACTTTTACTACTCTTAACAGCGAGCAGGAGAAGAACCGTTACTATTTGGTCGAAAGGCCCTTGTTCCAACTGTTTGCTCTCGATTTTCCTGGCACGCATTGGACTGCCTAGAGGGAGGGGGTATAAATATCATAGCCCCTCAGAGTAGTTTGAGGACAGTCTTCGAAGCTAAAAGAAACCCTGATTACCTATACTTTGGCCGCGGGGTAAAATTATCACGGCTCCAATGTTTGCCCTGCCCTTCTTCACTGAGCGGATCATGCTATTTGTACCCCGAAGGTACCAGAGTGACCGTTCGCGAGGGCGGCGGCTCGTGGGCGAGAGGCGGGAGGGAGGCACCGGGGCGGGACCATCAAAGGCAGCCCGGGCCGACGCGGCCAGTATCAGCGGAGCGACTCGCGCGGGTGGGAGGGGGATAGGGGGGGGGCACAAGTGGCGCCCTAATTCCCTTGTCGACACGTGGGAAAACTCGGGCGGGCGCGAGCCGTTGGTGCTGCTGTTGCATCCCCGACAACAACCGGCCGACACTCACTTCTGGCCGCCCAGGACTGCGCGCCTGCCCACCGCCACCACATTAAGCGCCTCGCACACGCGAAGGAAAGGGAGAGTGAGAGAGAGAGGGAGAGAGGGAGAGAGGGAGAGAGGGAGAGGGAGAGAGAGAGAGAGAGAGAGAGAGAC